CCTCAAATCAGCCATTGGATATTAGCCATCCAGTTGGGGTGGAGTGCACTCCCAGGTACTTCCTGACAAGGAGACTGCAGTCGCCCAAGAGCAATCCTTCTCTGGCAGAGGCACTGGCTCAACACCTATGGCACATGGGGATGGGCACAGGAACTGGCAAGAGGGATCGCAAGGGGTCCCAGAAGGTAGCTGCTTGCATTTGCTAGCTCTACAGTGCCTCCCTGGCCTGTGGCCTCGGGCAAGTCATGTCCCCTCAGTTTTCTCATCTGAAAAAGTGCCCCCAGCTATTTCCTCTGCCAGGAGCTCTCTTCAGCCAGGTCACCACCTGGCTGCTCCTTCTCATTGTTCATCTGTCTGCTCATACATCACCTCCTCCAGGAAGTCTTCCCTGGCCACCCTAGCTTAAATAGCCTCTCCCTACCTGCCCATGTCACTTTTTTTCTTTTAATATTGAGATATAATTTATTTACATAAAAAGCACACACATTTAACATGTACATCTTGATGAGTTTGGACATATGCATACACCTGTGAGACCATCACCACAACCAGGGCACTAAATATATCCACCATCTCCAAAAATTTCTTTGTGGTCTTTTGTAGTTTTTGGTTTTTATATAAAAACACTTAACGGATCTATCCTCTTAACGAGTTCTGAAGTGTACAATACCGTATTGTTAACTGTGAGCACCCTGTTGTACGGCAGAGCTCTAGAACTTGTTCATCTTGCGTAACTGAAACTTTATACCCACTGGAAAACAACAGCCGCCTCCCCTCTCCCCGCAGCCCCGGCAACCATCCTTCTAGTCTGCTTCTGTGAGTTGGCCTGTTTTAGATTCCTCATACAGGTCCTTCTCTATCTACCTGTTTCACTCTGCAAAACGTCCTCCAGGTCCATCCGTGTTGTCACAAATGGCAGACTTTCCTCCTTTTTACGGCTGAATAATACTCCGTTGTATGTTACACCACATTTCCTTTATCCATTCCTCTGTCAGTGGGCATTTAGGCTGGTTTTTTTTATCTTCAGCTTGTGTCACAATCTAGCACGTCATCTGGAGTCTTCTTCACAGCATTGTTCATATCTGAATTATCCTGTTTGCGTTTGTTTCTTGTCTGCCTTCACCTCTAGGATCTCAGCTTCCCGAGGGCAGGGACCCTGTCCTCTTTACTGCTGTGTCCCCAGTGCCTGAGTGAATGAGTAAATCAGTGGCACCAGCTGCACACCACTGTTGTGTGAGAGCACCACGCAAGCAGTTCTTATTTATTCACATGGTCACTCGGCACACATTTCTTGAGCACCTACTGTGTGTCAGGCACTGTCCTAGGCACTTTACATGCAGTGATCGCATTTGATCCCTACAAAACCATGTGAAATAAATATGCACCCCCATTATACAGAGGAGCAACTGAGGCTCTGTGAGGATCAAGGACTTGCCCCAGGCCACAAAGCAAGTAAGTGGCAGAGCTGGAATGTGAGCTAGGGTTGGCCTGACCCTAGAGCCCTTTTGGCCAAGGGTTAGGTCCACATCTCACTTCCCAGGGCCCCCGACTCCCAGGAGAGCCCCTGAGCAGTTCTCCCCCACCCCCTGTCGCAGGCCTGGTGATGTCGGCCATCACGGTGATCATCCTGGTGCTGTACTTCACCGTGGACACCTTTGTGGTCAACAAGAAGCCATGGCTACCCGAGTGCACACCTGTCTACGTGCAGTACTTTGTCAAGTTCTTCATCATTGGTGTGACGGTGCTGGTGGTCGCCGTGCCCGAGGGGCTCCCTCTGGCCGTCACCATCTCGCTGGCCTACTCTGTGAAGGTGAGCAGTGAAGGGCAGGACCAGCCAGCTGATGCCGCTGAGACTGGCTGCCCCCAGCTGGGGGTCTGTGGTGTGGCCTGGGGCCTTTACTGGGGTTGAGAGAAGAGCTAAGAAGAAAGGAATGGACACTTGGGTAGCTCAGAGAGAGGATATAAGCAGGAACCCAAAACTCACATGCGTTCAGGCGCCTGTGGCAAACGAGAGCCACATCCTGGCTAAAGAGACAACCGTTATTCAGCCCAGCCAAGTGTCACTTTGTGGGAGTACAGGCCCAGTATTGCCAGATCTTTACTTTTTTTTTAAGAGAAGCCAGAAATCTGGACTCAATATAAACTCTCCTTATTTTTAAACATTGACAATCAACCCAACTTTAAATAAAAAGTAAAATGCAGACATTACCGTGCAGGCCCAAATCCATCACGTCAGTCTGGCCAGCACAGGCACAGGCCCTACCATAGCCGTAGTACTTAATGCAACTGCTAATCTCAGAGATTGCTTCCTAAAATTTGAAAGAAATAAGCCTAAAACAAAAAATATGCCTGACTTTATGAACGCCCCCTCCTCTCAGGAGTTGGGCTGAAAATATAAGGTTCTAAAAGAAGTTCAGTGAAGGGCAGGTGGGCCCTTGCACGCCAACTGCGGGCCTTCTGAAATGCTGCCCTGATGGCGGAGTCCCACCTACCCCTGCTCCCAGGCCTGTGGCCTTCTTCAAAGCCTGAACGCTGAATTGAGCGGGCTGGTATCCCCATGGGCACTGTGCAACCAGCCCTCCTGAGGGCACTTCAAGCCTGGCTCACCCCCAGGTCCTCACACCCTGGGCTCATTCTCTTTCCTTGGCCCTGTGGTTTTCACACTTCGGAGGGAGGGCTGCACTCCTGTTTCCCAGGGCCCTGATGCCAGGATGTCCCTGCGTGGGTGGAGGCCTGAGCGTGTTTATAAATAAGGCATTCGCTCTGAGACGTTGGCAGAGCCGCCGGAGGGCATGGCTAGCGTCAGTTTCCAAGCTGGAATTTGGGCTGGGCTTGCCGATGTAATTTCATACAGAAAAGAGATCTCTAGGCAGGTGCCAGAAAGTGGCAGCTCTGTGTAAAGGATACGGCCCTTATCATCTCCTTGTTTTAGGGCTCTCAAAGAAACTCCATCCCACAAACCAGAGCCCAAACAGGTCGCAACACCATGCTCGAGGGCCGGGGTCCTGGAGGTGGAGACTCTCGCACAGCCATGAGTCAGGACCTCACAGCCCTCCAGCTGCGCTCCGGGGGAAGGGGGTGGGGTCTCCTTCAATGTCATACAGAGTTGGTTTGGGGGAATTATGTACAGACATTTTCAGGCCTCCACACTTTCTGCACTTTGTATCTCTGGCACCTGGTGCCTTTAGATGTCTCAGATAATGTTACTTATACAGTCACTTGATAAACTTAGTACAGCACCCCAACCCAGGAGAGGCACACTCTCCCCTCTCTGAGCCTGGACTTACCCCTTGGAGACCACCATCAAAAGGGAAGAGATGAACACTTAGATCAGCTCTGTCTAATAGAGATCTGATGTGAGCCGCAGGTGTAATTTTAAATTTCCTAGTGACCACGTTAAAAAGGAAAAGTAAAAAGAAACAGGCAAAATTAATTTTAATAACAATTTATTTAACACCGTGTGTCCAAATTATTATCAAGCCAACGTGTAATCAATATAAAAATTACTAGTGAGCCCTGGCCTGTTTGGCTCAGTGGTTAGAGCGTCGCCCGTGGACTGAAGGATCTCGGGTTTGATTCCAGCCAAGGGCACGCACCTCAGTTGCAGGCTCGATCCCCAGCCTGGTTTGGGGCACTTGCGGAAGGCAAACAATTGAGGTGCCTCTCTCACATTGATGTTTCTCTCTCTGTCTCGCCTTCTCCCTTCCACTCTCTCTAAAAAATCAGTGGGGAAAAATATCCTCCAGTGAGGATTAAAAGAAAAAAGAAAGGCTGTTGATGTGCGAGCTATATCATTCTGAGTGGTGGCATTATGGCTGATTTGTTTTCTTTTCATTTTTTATGTGTCTGTATTTAAAAGAAATTCATGATTTCTGTCATGCAAGTTACAATGTGTATTTGCTGTAGAAAAAAAATCTATAGTTTTTTTAAAGAAGACAATAAAAATCTCCTATAATTCTACCACCCAAAGATAATGACACTAATAATTTGATATTTTTCCAGATTTCGCCCTATGTCTATAAACACATATATCCCCAAAATGTATTTACTTTTGGTGAAACCAAAGTGACAGCGAAAACCAGGCACCAGTGAAAAATGGTACATTTGAGAAAATTCATAATAAATAAAAAATAGTTATTTATATTAGGGTGTAAGAGAAAAATATTTGAAGTAATCAGAGGGGACCCAACCTTAACTTATCCTTACCCCTATTTTTTCCATTAAAAATGTAGGCTAACTCTTTAATCCAAATTAATAGAGTCGATTAATCAACTCTTTTATTTTTTTTAATCCTCACCTGAGGTCATGCTTTTATTGATTTTAGAGAGATGGGAAGAGAGAGGGAGAGAGAGAGAAACATCAATGTGAGACGGAAACATCAATTGGTTGCCTCCCGTAGGCGCCCCGACTGGGGATTGAACCCGCACCTGGGTAAGTGCCCCGACCGGGAATGGAACCCTCAGCTTTTCAGGGTAGGGGACAATGCGCCAACCAACTGAGCCACACCGGCCAGGGCAGCCAACTCTGTTAAGTGGCTCAGTTAGTAATGGGGAAGAAAAGGGTGGCACACACAAAGGAGCCCAGGTGTCAGAGGCTGCGGAAACCACATGTGTAAAAGCAGAGGGACAGACTGCCGCAGCCCTTCCTCTTTCACTACGTGTTCACCCAGTACCCCCAGCACCCCAGCACCCCAGTTCCCTCTCCTCACTGTCACCCTCTCACCTGCCCCTCCCCCCAGAAAATGATGAAGGACAACAACCTGGTACGCCACCTGGACGCCTGCGAGACCATGGGCAATGCCACGGCCATCTGCTCGGACAAGACGGGCACGCTGACGACCAATCGCATGACGGTAGTGCAGGCCTACCTTGGCGATGTCCACTACAAGGAGATCCCCGACCCCGGCTCCATCAACGCCAAGACCATGGAGCTGCTGGTCAACGCCATCGCCATCAACAGCGCCTACACCACCAAAATTCTGGTAAGTGGCATGGGCTCCACTACCGAGAGCAATGTCCGTGGGGGATGCAGAAGCACTGGGCGGGTTGAGCAACGTGACTCATATTTTTAAATCCTGTTGATGCATTTGGGGTGGTCAGATAGTAAGTGACTTGATTCTCTAACTTAGCTGTTACGTTTGTATGACCAAAAATACAGGATGGGGCAAAAGTAGGTTTACGGTTGTAAGTACATGAAACACAGAGTTTATTCTTGTGTTATTTATTAATTGTTGTATTATTTTGCAGACAAACAACTGTAAACCTATTTTTGCCTCACCCTGTGTGTGTATGTGTGTTATCTTTTTTATGATAGAGTGTTTTTTTAATTTTTATTGAATTTATTAGGGTGACATTGGTTAATAAAATTACATACGTTTTAAGTGTACAATTCTATAATACATCATCTGTGTATTGTGTTGTGTGTTCACCACCCAAAGTCATATCTCCTTCAGTCACCATTTATCTCCCTTCATTGTCTTTTTAAAATCCTGTCATTACCCATCCCCTAAAAAATTGTTGTAAAAAACTTTTTTTATTAGTTGGCTTTTGCTGCATAACAAACTACTCCAAGACAGACGTAGTGGCTCAGAACAAAACTATATTTAGCTCACAATTCTGTGAGTCAGCAGTTCGAGCTGGGCTTAGCTGGGTGGTTCTTCTGGACTAGGTGGGGCTCTGCTGGTCTTGGCAGGACTGTAGGCTGATGACTATGGCCTCTGCTAGATGGCTCCTCTCTGCTGGGTGTCATCCCACCTCCTCCAGCTTGTCTGGTGTTGCATAACGCAAATTCAACTGAGTAAAATTTAAATATCTTATTAGCTTTATTGAATGATTCATGAGTCAGGCAGTATTCCATCTAGCAAGGAGAAAAGAGCTCTGAGGAAATGTACAAAATCAAAGACTTTTATAGGCAGAAGAGGGGAAAGAGTCAATTGTTTCAGGCTTAGGTAACCTACCTATGGGGGACAGAAGGGGGCTACCAGGTGGACTCCCTGACCAGAAAATTCCAGATTGGTTAAGATTAAATTCCTGGGAGAGGGTAAAACTGCCATTAGGTTAGTTATTAAGTATTGGTTTGGTGATGTGGGCTTAGCACAGATGACTCCATTTTGGGCCTGCTATCTCTTTTCTAACAATTCCCCTTTTCGACCAGACTCCCAGCTTAAGTGAGAGATGTGATAAAACTTTAAGACATTAACCACTCCGTGTTTCTCGCAGCTTTTACTGATCCTCTGTGTGATTCACAGGTCATGACTTTATTTTTCAGAATCTCTATGATACAGGCCACAAATTCAGGTTCACAATTTTGAAGTCAGTCACTCTCTTCACTCCTTTTCTGGTGTTCCAGTCTTAAGGAGATCATTTGCTTGGCTAGCGCCTAGTGCACTTTAAACTTTTGAGAGAATATAGCATGCCAGGGAGACTACTGTGACTACTCTAAACGGGATAATTCTCAGTATCTAGAGTGTACTTTGGAGCCATGGTCCCCAAGATCTAAACCAATCAAAATCAAATAAGTCAAAGAAAGACCCTACTGAAGGAATCACTCTTTAAGCCAAGTGGCCTGCTCAGTGATCTTATGTAACTGAGTTTCAGCTTCCTCACAAGTGTTAATCCAGGTGCAATAGGTCGGCGTTAACCACAGCATATAGACACATCTTTCCGCACAGCTAAAAGATGATAAGGATATTACTATCAGGAACAACCTTGGCCAGAGAGTCTAAAGATTTTTCTTGGGCAGCTATTATCTTAGCAGTGGATTCAGCAATATCTTCAAGAGTTTAGGAGAGGTTTCTAATCATAACCTCATTCACGTTTACTCCTAACCAGGGAAGTAAGGCCTTGCCAAAGGAAGTGAATCCTGAGTTATGAATGCCTCCTGGTAGGCCTTTTCTGACTCAACAATGTAAATCCAGTGGAGCTGACCAATGAGGTATCTCAGTTTGTTTGTAAACAGTTAGGGACTCGGTTAGATAACCCAAGAGGGGTTATCCAGTTTGCACCAACCACCTAGGCATTCGTAGACCCAAGGAAAATCGACTGTTATAGACAGAGATAAATCCTGACAGGGCACAGACCACTTCCACCAAGGTTATACTCTTAATGGATTCAGTCGCAGGGATTATTATACTTGCCTGTTCAAGCCAGGGGTCAGTTAGGTTTTCAGTGCATTCCGTAAATCTCCTAACCTGAAATAAAAAGTTGTTCCAAATTCCAGAGGTTACCGCCCTTAGCAATGTCCTGGTAGATATGGATTATGGAGTTATCTTTCCAGGCCAATGCCAGAGTAAAGAAAAGAAAGAGAAGTGAGGGTTTCATATTTAGTTAAAGTATGAAGTCTTGACTCAGTGTCTTGGGAGGAAACAGTCTTCATGGACGTCAGCTAATTCTCTTCCTAATCAATTTGATGCGGAAGTCTCCAGCATTTGTACCGGACTAGATGTCAGGTGGAGCCTTCTTTAGCTGTGAGATGTGTTCACGAGGCTCGAGTCCTTGAAGTCTGCCCGCCATCTGGGTAGCGGGAAGGACCTGGTATAGTCCTTTCCCAGAGATTTAAGGGCAGCCTTTGTTCTTAGTAATTCCAAATCAGAGGGTGGGAGAAAATTGGAAGCATTAGTTTGAATACCGTAGCCAAATCTTTTAGAAAACTAGCAAAATTTAAGACCCAGTGCAATCTACAGGTATCTAACAAAACCTCAACAATTAACTTTGCTTGGTTAGTGGCAAGGATTAGAATCTAAAACAAAGATGCAAACAAAATTTTTCTCCTTACAATTATCCCCATTTCTTTTTTCCAAAGTTAATCACAGCAAAACTAATTTGTTTGCATTAGACTTGGCCTGATTATTTACGTAAGTGCAGCAAGAATAGTGATTGCCTCCCTGGAGGATTGCTTCCCTTATAAGCAAGGTACCAGCCAATTTTTCCATGGGGATTTATTAGCCTTAAAATCATCTAGTCATACCTAGTCTACACACATCTTTCTCAAATATGACATTCTAGTCAAAGCCTTGGTAATATAACCAATATTTCCCATTGTGTCCTGTTACAAGAACAGATTCTTACCGAATTTATGCAAATAACTAACTACGTTGTCAGGAACTCAGTAGTTTCACAATTCTGGAGGGATAAGGTAGGGGGTAAAAAGTAAGTGTCCCATTTTTGTTCACCTAGGTATATTTTACCAAATTGTTGATAGTCTAAGGGGAAAAGTTTCCTTAAATCTGGTAAAGCAAAACATTAGCGGACCAGCAGTGCTTCAAACAAGAAGTCATAGGAATTACAATTCTTCTCCTCAGTTCATTCAGTCCCACGTTATTAATTCTTGCTCTGCTTGAATCCAGTTTTTCCACTAGTTCCAGAAATTCTTACCCAGTTCATTGGAAGATCTTAAAGTTTATCAGAAAACTGTATTTGTCAAAGTTCTGTCCATGAACCCCTTTGAAGAGGAAGCGCTTTTGCAGGAACCCTTTTATAAAAGCACCAGAGTAAAACAGTAGCTCTCCGTAAATGACAAAAGACTTTTAAAATGCCCATTATTACAGGTCTGATAGGATTTCATTATAATGGAATTGACAAGGAAATTTGGTTATTTCTATAATATACAACAATTTAAGATGATAACAGGAATTATGACTGATGACATTACATCAGGACATATCAGACTTCCAAGAATTTCACACATTTTTTGAAACACTTATAACATATACCCATTCAGAGACACCATGAAGAAGGCTTAGCTCTACTTATTTGATAATGCGTCCCATAGGACTTTACCTTATCAAATAAGCCTAATTAGTTTGTCTCCTTTTTTATAAGGAGGGACAGTAAATCTTTCGAGATGTTCCAGGACCCTCTGGAAAATCCCAAAGTTAATTCAAGGTCAAAAAAGCTTCATTTAGGATTTGATTTTTGAGAAGTTTGTCGAAAATACCAAAAAAAAAATTTTAACACTTGGTTAAGTAGAATTATAGGTCGCTGTGAAACAATACTTATCTACTTAACCAAAATGAAGATGAAAGACTTTACAGGCAAATTTATAAGGTTGTATAGTTCTGAGCAAAACTTAGCTTTTTTAATATTGAGAAGACTAGGTTAGTTAGGAGACTCACTTAAGTAATCAAAGACCTGATAAAGACAACATGGAACATAGGTAGTTTTTTCTTCAATTACAGTTCACATTCAATATTATATTCATTTCAGGCATACAGCATAGTGACTAGATATTTATATAACCTACAAGGTGATCCCCCCATAAGTCTAGCACCCACCTAACTGTAGGTGATTCTTTTGACAAGACTCAAGATCTTTGGGGGTTTTTCTAGGCAGATTACTTTAAAATAGAAGGAAAACCTTTCATACATAATCCTGTCAGGAGCAGACCAAATAGTACAAGAGAACTTTACCCTTTTCGAAGATGAAAGAAAACTAAGTTTTAGTTTCACTTACATACACTATTGATAGTAAAGTTTATTTTAAGCCCTTACAACAAATTTAATTTTTAGCCAAATTGCAGGCACAAGGTAAAATTCTCTTTCTCTTTTTCTCCCTTTACAACTTTATTTTTAAGTTGTTATTTATTTTTCCCCTTCCCATTTTGAAATAATAACCAGTTTTACCTTTGGGACAAATTACTTTCTTTTTCAACAAAATGCATTTCCATTTGTTACGCCTTCTTTCACTGGAAACACATGTTTTATTTTCCTTGCATACAGAAATGTTTTCCTTGTTATTTCTATTAGTTATAATTACATATATTAGAATTCATATCCCTTAAAAATCTTAATTTCTAATGAAAATAAAGAAATAAACAATTGTGAACTGCCTTTTACATTAACATTCCAGGGCTGGGAAAATTTATAAATGCTTTTTATAATTTCTAGAAACATACACTTTCTCATAGTACGTTTTCAATGTGGTACAAGACATATTTACTAACAGACCCAAATTTCTTTGGTTCCTCTGTAAAAGGAAACCAAAA